TCAGTCAAACTTTTCTGAAAATGTATTTTTTGTTAAAAAAAAAAAACCTGCTGTTTTGGCTCATATGGCTTCACGTTTACTGTGCCTTCCATGTTACTAAGCAGTGCTTAGTATGGATTCTTCCCTGTATTTGTTATATCTTATACGAATTACATTTCAAAAATCTGGCCTCAGTGACTACTACAGGGTCAGATTGACATGCTGAGGCCCTCAGGTAAGTCAGTGGCGGCTTGTCCATTAGAGCCACTAAATGCTGTTCTGCAGCTGGCACTGAATGTTTTTGTCTGCATGTAAATACCTGACTATTCATGTGTATGTATAACCACTTTTGTCACTGTCAGCCCCAGCTGTTACCATCACTGGGTGTTGTGCTTTCTGTCCCACCAGCTACAATGGGCATCAACTCAACTATGTCAAACTTAAAAGGACCTATATACTACTTTACTAAAACCTGAAACTTGTTTTAAAATGTTAATGTTTTGTTTACATTGTTGTTGTTATCATTACTATTACTGCTATCATGTACTGAAGTGTATTACTTCACTTGCGTATAATTCCAATATTGCCTAAATAATTGCCAGACCTTGAAAACAGGTAAGTGGGTCTTGTTACTCAGAATCTAACTGTATTATTTAAATACACAAGAGAAAAAATGCCCTTACCTTCTGAATCTCCCAATGATCATGGACACTTCCAAGGACATCAGCAAAATTACGGAGCCCAAAAACTCTTTGACGAAAAAGACCAATTTGCCTCTGTAGATTCTGCTGAAGGATCTCATTCTGGTGCCTAGACAAAAATGAGCAAAAACAGCCCAAAAAACCAACATATCACTGAAAGCAAGACAGAGAGCTTTGTATACCACTATGTTTTCTCTCTCACACACAAAATCCCACAGGTCTCTCCCTTGCTTGCCAGAACTCCTTTGGTCTCCTTCATTAACATCACGGACTGTGAGGAGTATGGGTGGGACAGGTAGATGTTTTGTGGGAGAGATGTTCCAATAAGTATCAAGGTCCTAAACCATTAAGGTCTTTATAGGTCATAACCAGCACCTTGCATTGAGCACAGAAATTAACAAGGAGCCAATGAAGGTTTGCCAAGATTGAGGATACATGTTGGTACCTGTGTTCCGTCCAGCTGCTGCATTTTGGACAGCTGTCAGACTGATCACCATCTTAATATATTTTCCCATGCCAATGGTTTTGGGGGCCCATGACACATCTTTAAATTCCTTATCTGATGATAATTTCCTGACTTTCTTCTGATACGATGCTATTATATGAGGGAGAAAGGTTTCCACCATGGAGTGGGAGAAGAATCTGGTTTTATTGTCTTCATTCAGTTTCCACAGGAAGGTCAGTGTTAAAATATTCTTTCTATATAAGGCCTGCCACGAGCAGACACATCTATCTTCTTCTCTTCTGTACTATGGCAAGCATGATGATGTACAAGACATTGCAAATTCTTAGTCTCAAGCATGCATGAGAAGAGAATGTTAAAGATGGCTCTTTCATATTGTGGGAAGCATCTACCAACTGGCTGGGTATCACCAAAGATCACCTCCACTTAAGCAAGAGAAAACATCTACAGAAGGAATTTTCTTTTTTGCTACAAAATTTTCAGCCCACAGTCCAGCAATTCAAGATAATGCTGCTCAAACTGTCCCAAGAGTTCTGCATGTTCTCAACTCATTTGCTTGCTTTTTTTCCCCTTGGGAGTGAATAAGACAGCCTTAACGTAATAATGATTATACTTAACGATATGCAATGCTTTAACAGAGAGTATCGTTTTACCTTTGCTGTCTCCTTTTTTCCCATTTGGAAGTACCTGAGGGGGTGTACAAGCCAGGCAAAAATACTAGAAGGAAATGTGAATGGCATTAATGACTTTTGGAATCAGTTAGAAAATCCACATCTTTGGTAGGATGATTCAGCTGAATGTTGTGTCCTTCTTAGTCTAATCTAGAGCAAGGGCTGCAAACACGCCTACCCATGGAACTCATTAGGATTTACTTCCCATAGAGCAGGGGTCTGCCTCCTAGCCCCCAAAAACATATTTGCCATGGAAATACATAGCACACAACCAGAAGTCTTTGGGAAGCATAATTTATATTTGGGAGTAAAAACGTTTTGTGGCACAGCAGTGTTGAACCCTCCAAGATCTAGGTTAGACAAAAATGGCCCCCACACCCTCAGGTTGCTCACCCTTCTGGTAGAATAACAAACATTGTCAACATCCAATTCCTTTGGGAGCACTGGGTTGATGTCACAGCTAGCCATGGAGTGCGCGGAAGTTCTGACTCTTAAGTTCAGATCTGACCACTGGGCAATGTGGCCTGTTAATGATAACAGACGTATGTGGAGAATCGGTTCCAGGGAGGCCCCTGCCGATGCTGAAAACTGCAGATATGCAAACTCTACATATAGCATAGTCTCTTTCTCCCTCAGGTGGCCAGCTCTAGCAATATATTTTGGAAACACATTATTTAATATTTTCAGGTGGATAACTGAAACCATGGGTACTGATCCCACAGATATGGCAATCTTACTGTACATACATGCATACATACTTACGAGTGAATAAAGGAGGTCTTCAAGAAAATGACAGCATTATCATCATGGAATGTTGAGAACATTCTGTAGCAACTAACCGTATCCTAATGACTCCCTTCAACCTCAGCTACGTACATAGTGTTACGTAGTAGCTTTTTTTCCCAGTGAATCCCACATTGGAAAGATCCAATTCTGTTCAGAAATTGTAATAATCCTGTGCAGCATGGCATTCTTAAACACACAGAGATGCATACAACTTACAAGAAATCCTATGCAGTAACTTCTCCGACTATGAAGGCAGAGGTGCAATTACTCCTCACTCGTTTCTTTCCAAGAGCAAGGGGTTACCAGATTCTCTGACCGAATTAAGGTCTATTAAATGTCACCACGTGAGATCATCTCCCAGACAAATGGATGTAGAGATACATTTTTAAAAAACCCATCCCTACAGGTTTTTGAAAGAACCAAATCTAATACAAAGCACCATTTAGGACACATGCCCCCACAGAGATTTTGACATGCAGAGGGAAAGTACATATTTTCTGGAGATCAGCTAACTCAAAGAAATATGTATTTAGAACTGGATTCTGGAGGAACTCACCATAAAAGAGACCCAGCAGGAATATGAATGCTGGAAATGCCAAAATCTTCACCATACGTCTCAGAGGTTTCTCTGAGAAAAGACAAACACATTCAAGGGGACATTCCTAAAAAAGAAGGACTTGTTTATGTGTAGAAAATTACAGTACTCATAGAAGAGGCAACCATTAGCAGATGCCTTAATATATGAGGGTGATCCTTCTGGAGACTCGTATCCCAAAACGTTTAGAGGGATCTGCACAAATGAATCAAGACATGTAGGAAGCAATGCAAGCAGCAACGGTGGCACCAGAAGACAGCAGGGTGCGGGGGACTGAAAAGCAGCCATAAGGGGGTGTGGTAGTCGCTGTTTCCCTCCCACCTGAGGTGGCAGGAAAAATGTACCATTGCAACCACTACGTATCGTGAAAGAGTACTACTGAAGGGGAAAAAAAGTAGCTGGATCATAGAAGGATCCTTGCACAGTTTGCATAATGTGCATATAATGTGCCTAATAGAGAAACGACAGTGCTGGATCCAGAGGACTCTTCAAGTGGCTCTCACATGCACAGATCTCACTACTGCCAACCATTTTTTCAAGGTAAATGCATCCCGCTTCTGACATACCTACAAGAACAAGTGGCTGTGGATCAGGGCAGATCATGATGTTAGTTCTAGGTTCCACCAATGGAGGTGCTTCAAAACACTGTTGAGTAAGCAAATGAGTTTGATCCACCAAGTATTTGCCTAATGGAAAAAGATTACATTGTTAACACAGACTTTGTGCACACTTTACAGACCACTAAAATAAACTGAGCTTTATATTGTATATTTGTACATTAATATAATACAAGATTGATTGATTGATTAATTGATTGATTTTTATTTCTTTCATTTGCTTTTTATGCCACCTCATTAGTGCAATGCACTATTCTGGGCACATAACAAGAAGTAAAATAACAGATAACAGTAAATATGTAAAAACTATAAAAGCATAAAATCATCAACACCCCAGTGGTACAAGGCATTTTTATCTCTATAAAGGTGAAAACAGAGTTGCAATCCAGGTCTTTATGGAAGGCCTCCCTGAAAAGTAGTGTTTTAAGCTGCTTTTTAAACATTAGCAAAGTGGGGGCTAGGATTAACTTCACCTGACGTTTATTTCATAGATACAGTGCCACTGCAAAGAAGGCCCGACTCCTCGTAGAAGACTTCTGGGCCTCTCTCAGAGTTGCAACACGGAGAAGCGTAGCCTGGGAAAATCTGGCGGATTGGGCAGATGGCACTGGGGAGAGACACTCCGACAAGCAGCATGGTCCCAAACCATGGAAGCCTTTATACATGAGCATCAAAACCTTGAACCTGATCCGGGACACAACAGGTAATCAGTGGAGGTGAGCCAAAACTGGAGTGATGTGATCACATTTGTTCGCACCAGCCAACAACAGTCTGGCTGCTGCACTCTGGACCTACGATGGTCTCTGGGTGAGCCTCAAAGGAAGCCCCACATAGAGAGCGCTATGATAGTCGATCTGGGAGATGACCAATGCTTACGCCAGTGTCCTGAAGGAACCCTCATCGAGGTAGTAGTGGTACAGATAAGTAGAAAATGGAACTTTTTCCCTTTGAGCCAATTTGGCTGGTGGGAAGATGCTGAGAGGTCTAAAAAGTAACTTTTCCCAAGCTTTGGCTTAAAGGTATGATCTGGGGGTAGGAACTGTATATAGTCATGGAGGCATACCCCTGTTCCTACCCCCAGATCATACCTTTAAGCCAAAGCTTGGGAAAAGTTACTTTTTAGACTTCAACTCCCAGCATCCTCCCACCTTCCAGCATCTTCCCTATATATAGGGACGTACCCTTATATAATGCTAATGTCTGAAGAACTCCCAGAGCAGCACCAAGCAACTTCCTGCTCTTGGGAGCCTACGCAAGACATCCCAAGCTCATGGGGAGCTCCACTGCGGCCAGCGCAACCTGTAGCTGGTTCAGGTGGGGCCCAATCTAGGCCATGGAAATTCCGGCCAAAGTCCTGTTTGCACAGTTATGCCACGTAATGCTGATGATGTCATCAGTCAGAATAATTTTTCACAAAATTAAAAAGATTCTGAATCCGCCACAAAGATCCCAAGGCTCCTGTGGAAATCTTTTTCTTGTGGGAAAGCGGTTGGGAGGGACGAGGGGTGGAGGGAGTCTTTAATTTCTGAAAATTGCTGCTATTGGGATTACTTTACTCGCAGTGGCCATTTTTTAAATTTATTCCCCCCCCCTCCTATCCTGAGGTCCTCAACAGCTTCCCCATGATGAAAAAGATTCCATGGGAAACTCAGGACTTTTGCTTAGGGGTCAGAATTTTCAATTTCTGGAAAATTGACATGGGTGATGACATAATTGGCCTTTTGTGGCATAGCTTCACTAACAGGATTTTAAGCATTTTGCGCTTTCGTCGCCTCTTTGGGGGAACACGGAAGGAGTCTCCCCAATGAATGTGAGGATGGGCTGCAGCAGCAGCCCGCCAGCTGGTCCTTCCACTCAAGAAGCACCACCTTTTGTTTCTGTCAGGAGCAAAGAAGCAGGGTAAGATTAAGCTGAGCTTTGAGGTGGGAAAGTAAGAAACTATCCTGAATATGGGCACCAAACTTCTCATCTTTCATTATCCAGAAAAAAAATAGTGTGCTATGAACAAAATTAGAACCTATGCTGGAGAAGTAAGAGGCTGATTAATTCGGATTAAACCATCCCCCCTTTTCACTTGATTGATGAGCACACACTCACTACAGCAGGGCTGCCCGGAGTCTTCTGAGTCGGATCCACTCCAAACTGTCTCTGGACCATTGTCTTTCCATGATTTGTGTCCCATGGAAGCAGAGTGGCGCTTCCTTCGGATTTTTTTGAAAACCCTGAGGAGACAAGATTCCGGTTTATGTGGCCAAAAGGATGTCAAGGCCAACTCCTGCTGGCTCAAATGATGCAATGACGGGGAGATCTCAAGCTCATTGTGGGATGGTTGTTGGAGGCCAAATGTAACCATTGCTAGAGAGTGAAAGGAGCAAAGCTTTTCGGCATGAGCCTGTGAAAAGCAAACGCTGAGGAACGTCCTTGCACAGGAGATCCTCAAAGCCATGCAGAAAATGTTTTTCCCCCATGTGTTCACCAAACACAGAAACAGAATGAAGCACAAATGGCTCATCATGATAGGAATAGCATTAAGAGGAAATAATGCTCTGGCACCTCAGACCCAGTAGCCTGGATCAGGATCCTTTGGCCTAGTGAGGCCCAACTGCCCTCCCACCGATGTTTACTCTGGGGCTCTCCAAACTAGATCTCGCACACAAGGGAGGAATTAGAGAGCCATGCTGATCTTGGAATTCCTCTACTAGTACAGTTGTGAAGAAATCTGCTGTTAAGCTTTCCTGTGTGAACACAAGAAATTTTGATTCAAGATTTCCAAGCTATTTAACACACAGAGAGAGAGAGAGAGGCAAGACTAAACCTTAGCTTTCAGCAGGTGCTGAGACAGCTGGTCTAGCTAGGCTGGGGCTCCTTTAGGATCCAGCACCTTAAAACTGGCTGTTTGTGTCACTCATCAGCTGGTTGGGCCGGCATCAAGGGTCAGTATGGAGGAGCACCTGGTAAAGGTCCATGCCCCAATAGGAGAGCACAGACAAGAATCCCCTGGATGGATCTGACCTTTCTCTTCACCATTTCAATCTGCTTCTTCATCTCCACCTGATTCCTTTAGCGAGAGAAAGAGGGAAAGGAACAGGAGGATACAGCAACAACAGCAGTGAGAAAGTAGACTTATTGAAGGAGGGGGGGGCCCTTCATCAGCACTGCATTACTCTTACATAAACCAGGGCAATGAACTATAAGACATTCCTCATACCTCTTCACTCCAGTTTCCCGGTATGAAATGGGCTTCAGCTTTTGGAGGAGGGCCAGCCTTTCGCTGCGCCTTTCCATTGTGAGCCTCCCAGAGAAGCTGCAAATGTAACAGATCCTACTCAACATTATCAAAAGAATGTTAACATATGCACTGAAGCATTTACAAAGAAGATGTCTTAAGGTATTATGTCAACCATGAAAAGAAGCAAAACTCCAGCACAATTACCTAAAACATTCACCAGTCTTTCACAAGGCCTTCCACTGACCACTTTTTGTATTAGGGTGAGAAAGAGCTGCATTGGGCCGCTCAAAGAACCGGCTCTGTCATTTTTTTTTCCTGTTAGGCCACCAATGTTAAAATAAAGGGCAGCATCTGGTACTTTCCATCTGTTGTGGGTGGAAGCAGCTCACAGTCTGAGTAGAAGGTGGACTGGGGGGCTCCTCACACCAAAATTTGAAGTTGAGGCCTCTCCCACTCTGGCCACAAGTTACCTTTGGTGGTGAGGGATAGGCACTCACCACCGCTAAGGGCAGAATGCGTGGAAGATAAGTGACATTGCTCGTCCAGGTGGCACCCTTGATCAACCATGTGCTGATAACACTTTTGTGAGCTGAACCTCCTCACCCGTAAGCTGTACACGTGCCAGCTTTGCACACAAAATTCTGTTTGAATTAGATCCAGACCTCAGTCATTTGCACAGTCCTATAAAAGTGGCCCTTTTTTGTTGTTCCATATTTCTCCTCATGTAATCTCGAGTTGTAAGTTTTTCTCCCAGCAGACTCATACATTATCAGCTGTCTGTTAAAAGGAAGAAGCAGTCAGACAAAGCACCGTGACTCCCAATTTTGGTTGACCACCTGTTTTTTTGGCTATAACTTCTAGCAGCCTTGGCCATCGGCCATGCTAGTTTGGGCTTCTGGGAGCTGAAGGCCACCGTTGAGGGGATTTTGTGTTTCAGAACCCCTGCATTCAGTTAGTACGTCGGGAGGTTGCTGGAGCCATGTAGGCTGGCCATATAGGCTACCTCCACCACAGGCTAGTGTCTGACCACTCCACTATAGCCATTCATCACAAGAACTGAGGATGTCCCTTTGCCTCCCTGTTGGACCCCCAGCTGCATCTGCACCCAACAACATTAAAGTATCAGGTGCTGGTCCTCATATCAAAAACTGGGCCTCAACAGGAAAATGACAAAACACATATTTGGAGTTATCCCCGTACAAACCTTACTAGCAGCAAGTACAATATTAAAAACTGGACAGTGGAAGGCCATCTGAAAAGTCAATTAATGTCTCCATAGCAGTGTGTACATTAGACACACTCCCTTGCTGGCTGCTCGTTGGGCATACACTGAAGAGGCCTCCAACCATATAACCAAACTGAAGCTCCTTCATGCAAGGTAAGGATCTTGACTGGCCAGGACAAGTCTAGAAGGGCCTTTCACATGCACACCCAGGCTCACATGGGAGGGGCTTCAGCTGTCATACGCATGAGCAACAAAGGGGATTGTCACAGGGCACCACCCTGCTCCCTTACCCAATACATGAGGAGTGTTGGTCCAAACATCCTTCAGATTGTAAAACCTTTGTGTAAAAAAAAATACTTTTGTTTGGAATACTTATTTATTTTGATATATTCCCTTTTGACCCCACCTGTCCACAAAGGATTAGCATCCTAGACAGTGAACAATCATCACTAAAAACAAGTGAAAGATAATTTTAAAAGCAAATGGAAAACAGATTAGACAATAATACCATTAAAATACAATGACTGAAACCATTAATGTCTTCAGAATATTGAGTAAAGTTCAAAAGGCCAATCTGAAGACATGGTGTCTTCATACCTTTCGGGAAAGCTGTGAGAATGGGACTTGTATGAAACAAGCAATAGTTTCAGAAATAAATGGATTTACTAATACTCTCTTTGCCGTACTTCTGTGACAAAGGTAAGCTACCAAGAATTCTCTACTGACCTCACAAGGACACCGCCAAATAGGATTTTCCAGAACTCAGCAATAGCTGGTTGAATAAAGCAGATCCGTACATGGTATGGGATGCGATTCCAACACATACGATTGGAAACACACTGCCTTTACTTCATCCTTCTGAGCCAATATATACTCTTCATGTACCACGAATCATCATGACCTCATAAACAGATTTAGTAGAGTCACACTGTTATGAATCCCTGGAGTTGCTAGGTATCACCACTGGACCCTTGAACTGAAATTTCTGTCATGTGTGTGGGAATAAATGTTTCCTCTTGCTTGCCCTATTGACAGGTATCTGTAATACATTTCAAATATTCAGTGCAGTTCTACAGATATGACATATTTATAGACTCATTTCCATTCTGACCCAGACATAGGAAACCTGAAGGAAAGAAATACAATAAAAACTGCATACCAAATTAAAATATAACTGGCTATTGGGAGGAAGAAATTTGTTGATTTCAATTTCTCATGCATTCATATTGTGTAAATCTCAAATTCTCTCCATCCTCAAAACTGGGAATTGGGAATGTGCTTAAATTCTTCAAAAACAAACTGAGACATTTTCACCTACCTCCACTGCCAAAATTCAACATGTTAGAGCTATTCCCAATATGGAGAGACTGATGTTGTAATGATTTGACATTTAGGGGTTAAAACTGAGAGGCCTCTTCCCCTCCCCTCCAAAGATGTCAACTTGATCAGTTCTTAAGGGATCCAAACTCACAATTTTAAGAGTTAGGTATTCAAAATCCTGGGTCTAGAGTAGAGGTGGGCTAACTCCAGATATGAGGAATGCCAATGCCCACCCTTGGACCTCAGGGCACCATGCCATGTTCACATCCTTTCCATCCCCCAATATTTTTCTGTCTAGAAGGCTTTGGGGGGAAAATGGGGGGACACACCAATCACAGCCTTTTCAAGCCAAGTTTTTTTTTTAAAGAAAAAATGAAGCAGTGAGGGTTGGGAGGCAGGGGTGCTGGGGCTCCTCCAGACCAAGCAAAATTATACCCCCCAATACCCTAGAAGTCATAAGGGAAGCTTTTGAGCCACAACATTATAACATTATAACATTATTATTTTTTCCCGCTCACAGATTCTTCCCATTCTGAAAATGAAGAACACGTGTTACTTTTAGAAAATGCTTATAAAACAAAAATAAAATCATTTCTCATCTCTGATGGCACATCTTCCTCTGCACATGTGGAGGGCTCTGTAGGGCCCTTTATTATTGTGAGGCTCCATACACACTTCCAAAGCGTCCTGGAATCTCGATTGACAGCTGCACTGTTGAGGGGCTGCCCACTGAGAACACTTCTCTGCGTGCTTCAGCCTTCTGAATAGTGCATTCAGATGGTCCTTTTGGTTGATGCTCAAAGTCATGATGGAGCCTAGGTAGAAGGTGGCCTCTACAGTATGGCAGGCACAAATCATGGGAGCCATTGGCTTGCACAAGGATATGAAACAGCGCTAACATGACACTTGCTTCTGTAGAGCTTGCTGCGACTTGCTGACATGAAGCATTTTAAACACATATGAGGCACACCAAGTACCTCTCATGGGGATGTTCATCAAATGCTTTGTGTCACTCCCTTCTCCTGCCTTTCTTCATTCTGCTCATACCTGTTGGCCTTTGGCAGCTTCCACTCTGTGGAGGCACTCCGTAACTCTGACTGCACATCAGACAAAGGAACAGCAAAGATGGGAGAAGGAACAGATTAGAACTTGATCTACACATTATAGAAATTGGGTTCTAGAGAATCGGAGGGCAGTTGGAAGAGTCAGTCATCCTGGGCTAGGGTTGGAATGGTGAATACATGGTCCTCCAGATGCTGCTGGACTTCAGCTCTTCTCAGCCCTAGCCAGCATAGTCCCTAGTGAGGGTTGAACTGAGGGGGCAGAAAGGCAGCAGAAGGGAATGACAGAAAGAAAAGCAGATGAGTGGTGTGTGGGGGTTGAAAGAATGGGATAAAATCAAGGATCAGAAATAAAGACAAGGGAGCAGCTAGTTGGCTGCTTTATGGGTGAGGTGATGAACACACAATTTAATTATGCAGGCTACACATTGCCTCCCCAGCAATGTGTACAAGGGAGCAGCTAGTTGTCTGCTTTATGGGTGAGGTGATGAACACACAGGTTGCCGGAAAACAGCCACAGAACAACTTCCAATAAACTACTTCATCATATCTTCCATACTTGGCATATTCCTGTCTACTGATGGGCTGTACCTCTCCATATGAGCCTTTTTGGCTCTTACGATCATCAGAGGAGCCCTTTCTCTCAGTCCCTTAGTCAGCTCATGCAGGTTTGATGTGAACAGGAGAGAGGGCCTTCTCTGTGGCTGCTCCCAGGCTATGGACTACTCTCCCTCAGGAGTTTATTTATTTATTTATTTATTGTATTTATTGTATTTATACCCCGCCTATCTAATCATTTCGACCACTCTAGGCGGCTTACAACATAAGGATAACAAGTTCTAAAAAAATTTATAACAATTAATTAATTAAATGATTCTATAAGATGGGAAAAATAAAAATAAATCAAATAAAGAGGGGGGGGAAGGAAAGAGGACAGGAATTTAGGTTGGCCCCTCCATTTTACCCTTCAAGCAACAGTTGAAGAACCACCTGTTCAGGAAGGCTTTTAGCAATCATAACTGAGATCCTGTTTTAGATGATTTTTTTTTACAAAGTTTTAAATGTTTTTAATCATTCAATGCATTTCAATTATTGCTATAGTTTAAGTGTTTGTAATGTATAATTTATTGTGTTTTTAATTCTATTTTAACACTATCTTAATTCTATTTTTAACTGCCTTTAGTCTTCTTATCAGGAGAAAGGTGACCTATAAATAAGACAAATAATTTTTCTCCATACTATCTTAGGATGATATCAGGAGCAGTTAGCAGTGCTATGGAATAGGGATATAAATCTTCACTTGTCTTCACAGGCAACAGTGCCAAATTGCAACATTCTTCTCCTCAAAGGTAAAAAGGAATTTTCCAGCACTTCTTCCATTTCTGATTTTTTAAAATTCTTTTCAATGGGGGTAGGATTATGGGGAAGGGAATTTATGGTTAGGGGTTAGATAAGGATAGGGAAGGGGTAAAATTTCAAAGAGTGAGATAGTACATTTACATCAACTTGTACAATTATACCAAAAAGAGAGATAAAAAGAAAAACAGCAAATTTTCCAGCATTCATGAATAGCCTTCGCGAATACATTTCCAGCATTACTCTAGTTACTAATCTATCTATTCACATTCTTCTTTAATCTATGCTTTCCAGGCTATCTTTCAAGTCAAATTATGAAATTATTCCATATATCTCCACCAAACATAATAAAAGTCTCTTCCTGTGTTTTACGTTTCCCACACTATTTAAAAACGTTTTTATCTTTTTTAAAAACTTTGTTGTGTACCATCAGTAAATCATATACTGGTATCATCTATAAAACTCTTGTCTGCATTTTCTTTAATAGCTACTGATGTTTAAACAATATTCTTCTACCATTTTATACCCATTATATCCTACAGTCTTTAACCATTTTATCCATTTAGTCCATTTTTATTGTTGAGGTTTTCTTTCCTTCTCCTGGATCCTCTTGTTTCTACAGTGTGCTTTTCTTTACAGCTTCTCACTTGCTCTTCTGCTCTAGTCGAGCTTCTTTCTGCCTCTGATCCTGATGATCCACTTGATTTTTCCTCTTCTCATTTCTCATCTGCTTTTTTTCCCGCCTTTTTTCTACCCAGCCACTTCTCCTTTGTTTTCATAAAATCTTCTGCCTTCAGTTTTGAGTTAATATAATAACTCTGCTCTTGGAAATCAAAGAGGACACCTTCAGGCACCAACCGCTTATACATAATTGAGTTTGCTCTCAAGAGGGATGTCAACTCTGCATATTGTTTCCTTTTCTGTCTTATTTGCTACAGAATATATTTCAAGATCTTAATTTCTTTATATTTTCTATTAAGTTCCTTGCCTTGTATATTTCGTAGAACTTTATCTCAAAAGATCGTTCTCATAAATTTAACATGAATTTCTCTGAGGAGATTTTTATTCCTGCTGTATGCTGTATGAATTTTCATGCCGTGTCTATATTTTGTTGAACATTCTCCAGTCACATCTCCATGAGCGATGCTAAATAAGTAGTAATCACTTTTGCAGTGTCTTCTTTTTGCTCTGATAGATTCTGCAATCTAGGTATGGCATTGGATCTTTCCATTTGTAGATTTAACAGAGTAATTTCATCTTGCTTGCTTTCCTGTTTTAGCTCTCCCATCTCTCTATTCCAGGTCTCCAGTCTTTCTTCTGTTCTTTTTGATATCCGATCTATTCTGGCTATTTGTTTTTTATTTCCTTTAATTTGATTTTTAATATCAGTCATTTGCATCCCCAAAAGCTTTCATTTGTGCACATAGCTGGGCCATCCTTCCTTGTAATTGCTGTACCCCTGTTGATAACATCTCTTGAATACTCTGTTGCCAGTCCTTAAATGACTCTTGCCCCAATATCCCACTGAGATTCTGTTCCTGTGCCAGTGAGCCTCTTTTAAGTTCTCTCTTTTCCAAATTTTGTTCCAATTTTTTCCTTCTTCTTAAGTTAAATAAATAGGGAATGCTGCTTAAGTCTTCTATCAGCAGATGTTTCTATAACCTTACTTTTCTTTCTCAGTCTTATTTACATGTCTGATCCAAGAGGGGAGGGGAGCTTCCCTCTGGGTAGAAAGTTTTCAGTCTTAAAGGCTCCACAATGCTTTGAAATAGGATTTTATATCCATATTCCAGATAATCATGGGAGTGAGGCTTTTATCTTAAATTGGTTTACTTTCATGGCAAGGTAGTTTTCTCTCCCTTCTCCCTTTCTCTCTTCTCTCTTCTTTTCCAGACCTAAGCTGGGGGGGGGGGAAGGCTCACTTCTCCTGNATTTTTTTTAAAAGGTAAGTCCATTCTGCTGACTCTTTATATCTATTTGTTTTCTGTGTAGTTATTCGGGTCCATGGAGATTTTCCTTACATGAGCAGATATTTTAACTTACTCAGAGTTTCTGGTTGAGATATTTCCAGTATCATTTTGTACTCTCTCACTCTCTGCTTGGGATGTTCCCAGCTCTTTGCCAAGATGGCTTCCTCCTCGTTCTGTGCACTCAGAGGGAGAACTAGCCTTCATCAATCCCATTCCCCCCCTTTTGTCATATCTCCTGCTTCAGACATCGCTTCTCCTAATGGTGTCTTCCCACCCCCCAATCCCACCCCCGGTTTGTGGGGGCCGTAACTGAGGGGTCCAAGTCAGTTTCAGGAGCTTGCCTGAAATCTGACTGGTTCTCGCCACGACGAAACACCGCCTCCCACTTCTGGCAGAGTTCTTAAAGTGGCAAGAAAGGTGTTTTTAACAGGCACAAGAAACCATGAAATTGCTTATTTTTGAACAAAACTGTGTCAGCTGCCTGAAATTCAGTGTTTATTTAAGCTCTGAAGCACTATATGGGTTGCTGACGTCTTCCTTAACTATTAGCCCATTCTTCTGTGCCTTTTGTGTATTTATGTGGTTTTGCTTCTTGAATAGTAGACACAAGAGACTTTGGAAAGAGGAAAGAGCCTTTTGTCTCACTTTGAGCTAGAGGCAAAGAACTGCACAGGGATTTGAAATCTTTGTTGAGATTCCTCATCCTATCAAGACAGTGTCAATCCATGAGAACAAGGAATTCAGTAAGTATTCCTCCTATCTCAATAGTGGCCCACAGGGTGAATTGTCTGATGAGACCATGAGTGACAGGCAGGTTAAATAGAAATGGATCTTGGTTCCTTGTTTTTTTAATTTCTTAATAAATGTTTTGGTCCCCATCTTGATGATGGTTGGGGGTCATTTTCCAAAACATGGTACTCAGCAAATTCCATTTTTCCTATGTGCAGGTGGTGCAGTAGTGTTATCCTTAACCCAATTGGGCCTAAAGTGCCCATTGATGGTTTTTTCTGCCTATTGTGATGACAATCTGTTGTCTATCAATTTTGTAAAATCTAAAATTATGGATTTTTTTCCAAGGTTTGGAAGAAATTCTGGTGAACACTACAGGATAATGTTCTAGAACAAGTTAAAGAGTTTAGTGTGCAAGTCACCTTTCTGTGTTGCAGTTTGGGTGTTTCCAACTGTGTAGGATATGCTGTGAGACCCGAGGTGAGGCTATAGAAGTGCTCGCCAGAGTGTCATCCTCCTTTAAGAGAGAAAAGGAGACCCAAACGGAATCTACAGCTCCCCGTGTCGCGTTCAGGCACCAGGGAATAGACACCGGTGACTTGGAACAGGGTTTGACGGGACTGTCGGTGGCCACTCAGACAGGACTAGAAAAGGCGGGAACAAGGGTGAAGGAGCAACCGTTGGTAGAGGCAGGACATGGGGATATAAAAGGGGAACGAGACAACATACGGGGAGGTTGGGAATTAATATGGGTTGAGGATCTCTGGACAGGGAGATGTGAAAAAGTAAGAGTGTCTCGAGAGGAGGCTGATTACAGGCGAAGAAGGGATTTGCCTCCTAAACCGAGTGGCGGAAACGCTTGAGGGAAGAGAAGGAAGCAGTGGAAAGGGAGGAACGGGAAAGAAGAGCATGGCATCTGGAGGAGGCTCGCTGGAGGAGGTATTTACTGGACCTTGGGACCCCTATGCAGAGGGAACCAACTGCTTCGACCATGAGAGGGGAGATGAAGAGACATTACCCCTGACTGAGGTGAACGTTGACACTAAGGACCAGGGTGAGACTAACCCTTTCTCGAAAGGACCCTGGTATGATCCAAGTTACAACCCCTTTTTACAAGATTTATGGACACCCTCGTTTGACCCGTTGGTGATGAGAGAAAAGAACAATGACAAGTTTAATGTTGATACTTCTTTATCTGATGTTCCAATAAACCCTAGTTCTGTTTTTCAAAAAACTGGGCATCCTTTATTTGTGTCCAATCAGCCTGAGGTTAATTTTGAACCCTCACATATGCAGCCATGTACACTGATGCCTCGCAAGACAAAATTAATTTGTTCCACAAGTCATGTTGTATTGTGACAATTTCATCTTGTGAAGCACAGTACTAATAGTTGTGCGATTTAAAACAAACCCCCAAAAAAGAAAAAAAATTCATCTTACGAGTCATCAAAAAATCACAAAACACTTTCGTCTTGCGAGTTTTCCATTGCTTGAGGCATTCGTCTTGCGAGGCATCACTGTATCTGGAATTTGGAATAGGCCAACTGAAGACCAGAGCATGGATCCAGACTATAATATTCCGAGTGCTTTTTCATTTTTTGTTGAGCATCCTGGCTATGCACACTTTATACTATGTAGGCCTCCTTCAGTCTCGAGAGACTATGGTAACGTGCTCTGAATAGATGTCTTGGAACAGCATCTAGTGTGGATGAGAAGGCCAATTCAAGATTGACAATCGGTTCCACACTTTAGACTAATGGACTACCATACTAGGAAGTGGTCAGTTTTGGCCCAGCATAAAATTAGATCCATGGGCATTCCTCTTGACTCCATTCTAATGCTTGTACAACATCAAGCATTTAGATTATTGTACCAGAGATTATATGATACTGAGAGACAAGAGCTGATTACTCTAGCAAACAGAACCTGCTCCTCTGTTGCAAATGGTGTGCCACCAACATCTGCAGCTTATTTAAAAACTCTTAAAACAGCTCAGGCAGAGCATTTATGCTTCCTAGACTTAAAATTCTATTCTCAGGATTGCTCTAGGCTAGCTTTTTGGGTATTCCTTGTCAAGAGAGATGTTGTCCATGTATGGCTGGGGCTCCTGAATTTTTGTCTCATGCCCTTTTGTATTGTAAGTTCTATGAACAAATAAGGAATGGTTTCATTTGTCCCCTGTTGCAAAAATGTCAAGGCTATCCTGATTATATTGTTTGTCAGACTGGAATCCTTATGTTACTGCTCAAGTTGCTAATTTTTTACTGGCTGTAAGAGCTGATCCAGCACTCCTC